AGAGAAATCATTGATTAAGATTTAAGAATGTGAGTATCAATGTTGATAGAGATAGCACAGTTTGATATTATTGGTGATAAACTATCAAAATTGGTTTTGATGCTGGGTGTCGGCCTTGTGGTGACATTAGATGCTGACGCTAGTTTTGATAGTGGGTATTAACCTTGTTAGTGATGTTAGGTGCTGACATTGATAATTTAATAACGAGCATTAACCTTGTTGGCTATGTCAGTTTGGGATGGCTGCAGTGCTTTGTAAAGATGGTTGTGAAGCTGCTTTGGGCAAAATAATTTTTTTGAAAGCTATTGTGGATTTATAAATATATTTTCTTAAGAAATCAAATAACTATTTTCTTAATGTTGTCACATATTAGTAATTCTAGTTATAAAAAATAGTTTTCCATCACAAAAAATTTTCAAAAAAACAGTAATAAAGCAATAGCCAAATAGAACCATAGATGCGGTCTAAAAAGTAAAACAATGAGAAAGTTATCCTAAATAGACCCTTAATGTTGCTTCCTAAAAAAATATAATTGTTGTAGGCTAAAATATACGCGTCGATAGAGTTATAATCCAACGTCTTATTGTTGCACGGATATCCAGCTCTCACACAGAGAACACAAGATTTTTTGCGTGGAAAATCTTGAAAAGAGAAAAAATCACAGGACCTAACCCAGTTGAAAATGATTCAACTAAAATTTGAGTAGATTATAGTAGGCTAACTCGTCCTTGAGAACGATCAGAGTATAAATGTCAACCATATGGTTAAAGTCTAGTGACAAACGGAGATGAAAGTTTGGCGTCACTTGGTGGTCCAGCGGAAGTCTGGCGTTACTTAAAAATTTGGGCGTTAGTTGGTAGTACGGAGGTGTTTTAGCAGAACTTCGGCGTCGGGCAGTGGTCCGACAGAACTATGACGACGGGTGGTGATCTGAAAGAACTCCGGGAGTCATGTGGTGGTCCGGCAAAACTCCGGCGTCAGGTGGTGGTCCGGTGGAACTCCAGGCATCATGTGGTAGTCAGGTGGAACTCCGACGTCAGGTGGCGGTCCGGTGGAACTCTGGGTGTTAGGTGGTGGTCTGGAGGAATTCCAGTATTTGGTGGAGGTCCGACATAACTCCTGCGTCAGGTGGTGGTCCAGCGAAACTTCGGGCGTCAGGTGGTGGTCCGGTAGAACTTCGAGCATCACGTGGTGGTCCGGTGAAAGTACGACGTAAGGTGGAGGTTCGGCGGAACTCCAATGTCAGGTGGTGGTCCAGCGAAACTCTGGGTGTCAAGTGGTGGTCCGGTAGAACTCCAGGCCTCAGGTGGTGATATGGTGGAACTTTGGGCGTCAAGTGGAGGTACGACGAAACTCCAAGCGTTAGGTGGTGGTCCCGCGGAACTCTGGGCATCAAATGGAGGTCCGTTAGAACTCTGGTGTCAAGTGGTGGTCCCGATGAACTACGGGTGTCATGTGGAGGTCCGGTGGAACTTCTGGCGTCAGGTAGTGGTCCGGCGGAACTTCGGCGTCAGGTGGTGGTCTGGTAGAACTTTGACGTCAGGTGGAGGTCCAGCAGAACTCTGGCGTCAAGCGGTGATCTTGTGAAACTCCAGCGTCAGGTGGTGGTCCGGTAGAACTCAGGTCATTGGGTGGTGGTCCAACGGAACTTCGACGTCATGTGGTGGTATGGTGGAACTTCGGGCATCTAGTGGTGGTCCAGCAAAACTCCGACGTCATGTGGTGGTCTGGTGAAACTTCGGGCGTCATGTGGTGGTCAGGAGGAACTCTAGCGTCAGGTGGAGGTCCAACAAAACTCCTGTGTCAGTTGTTGGTCCAACAGAACTTTGGGCATCAGGTGGTAGTTCGGTGGAAATCCAGCGTAAGGTGGAGGTCCGGCTGAACTACATCATCAAGTGGTGGTCCAGTGGAACTTCGAGCGTCAGGTGGTGGTCTGGTGGAACTCCGGCTTCAGGTGGAGGTCCGACAGAACTCCAGTGTCAAGTGTAGGCTCGACAGAAGTTCGACATCAGGTGGTGGTCCTGCGAAATTCTGAATGTCAGGTGGAGGTCCGATGGAACTCTGGCGTCAGGTGGAGCTCCAATGGAACTCCGGGCTCAGGTGGTGGTCTAGCGGAACTCCGGCATTATGTGGAGGTTCAGTAGAACTCTGGCGTCATGTAGTGGTTCGGCGGAACTCTGGGCATCAAGTGGTGGTCCGGCAGAACTCCGAACGTCAAGTGGTGGTCTGGCAGAACTCCCGGCGTCAGGGGTGGTCCGGTTGAACTCCGGTATCAGGTGGAGTTCCGGCGGAACTCTGATGTCAGGTAATGGTATGGCGGAACTCCGGGTGTCAAGTAGTGGTCTGGCGAAACTCCGGGCGTAAGGTGGTGGTCGGGTGGATCTTTGGGCATCAAGTAGAGGTCCAGCGAAACTCCAAGCATTAGATGGTGGTCCGATGGAACTTTGGGCATTAGGTAAAAGGTCCGTTAGAACTCTGGTGTCAGGTGGTGGTCCCGCAAAACTATGGGCATCATGTGGAGGTCTGGCGAAACTCCGGGCATCATGTGGTGGTCCGGGGGAACTCCGGCATCAGGTGGTGGTCCGACAGAACTCCGGCATCAATTGGAGGGCTCGTAGAACCTGATCATTGGGTGGTGGTCCGGCGGAACTCCGGCGTCATGTGGTGGTCTGGTGGAACTTCGAGCATCTGGTGATGGTCCAGCAAAACTCCTACGTCATGTGGTGGTCCGATGGAACTCCGAGCATCAAGTAGTGGTCCGGCGGAACTCCGAGCATGAAGTGGTGGTTCGGCGGAACTCCAACGTCAGGTGGAGGTCTGGCGGAACTCCGACATCAGGTAGTGCTTCGACATAACTCCCGCGTGGTGCTCCGGTAGAACTTCGGGCATCAGGTGATGATCCGATGGAAGTCTAGCTTTAGATGGAGGTCCGACGGAACTCCGGACGTCAGGTGGTGGTCTGGCGGAACTCCGTGCTTCATTTATTCTTTATAAGTTATTGTCTTTTTAGAATATATTATAATTTGATGTTTTGATTTGGATATTAATATTTTTGATGGGTCATGTAAAAAAATCTATTGAACTGGTTGCACTCACTCTGCTCTTTATGATATTTCAAATAAATGGAAGAGCCCGGCAAAATAGAAAAGTATACAAGAAGAACCTTCCGAGTCTTAGTAACTTGAGGCATTAACTTTTGTGTTCTAGTTTTTAGTTACTCTAATGTATAGATAATTAAAAGTTAACTATATTAGTGTGTGTGTGTATATATATATATATGAAAAATATTGAATTATTTTTGTTAATTATATTTCCAAAGCTATGAAGGTGGAGGTCCGACAGAACTCCAGTGTCAAGTGTAGGCCCGACAGAAGTTCGACATCAGTTGGTGGTCCTGCGAAATTCTGAATGTCAGGTGGTGGTCCGATTGAACTCTAGCGTCAGGTGGAGCTCCAATGGAACTCCGGGCGTCAGGTGGTGGTCTAGCGAAACTCCGGCATTAGGTGGAGGTTCGGTAGAACTCCGGCGTCATGTAGTGGTTCGGCGGAACTCTGGGCATCAAGTGGTGGTTCGGCAGAACTCCGAGCGTCAAGTGGTGGTCTGGCAGAACTCCCGGCGTCAGGGGTGGTCCGGTGGAACTTCGGCATCAGGTGGAGTTCCAGCGTAACTCTGATGTCAGGTAATGGTATGGCGGAACTCCGGGTGTCAAGTAGTGGTCTGGCGAAACTCCTGGCGTAAGGTGGTGGTCGGGTGGAACTTTGGGCATCAAGTAGAGGTCCGGCGAAACTCTAAGCATTAGATGGTGGTCCGATGGAACTTTGGGCATTAGGTAAAGGTCCGTTAGAACTCTGGTGTCAGGTGGTGGTCCCGCAAAACTATGGGCATCATGTGGAGGTCTGGCGAAACTCCGGGCATCATGTGGTGGTCCGGGGGAACTCCGGCATCAGGTGGTGGTCCGACAGAACTCCGGCATCAATTGGAGGGCTCGTAGAACCTGATCATTGGGTGGTGGTCCGGCGGAACTCCGGCGTCATGTGGTGGTCTGGTGGAACTTCGAGCATCTGGTGATGGTCCAGCAAAACTCTTGCATCAGGTGGTGGTCCGGTGGAACTCCGAGCATCAAGTAGTGGTCCGGCGGAACTCCGAGCATGAAGTGGTGGTTCGGCGGAACTCCAACGTCAGGTGGAGGTCTGGCGGAACTCCGACATCAGGTAGTGCTTCGACATAACTCCCGCGTGGTGCTCCGGTAGAACTTCGGGCATCAGGTGATGATCCGATGGAAGTCTAGCTTTAGATGGAGGTCCGACGGAACTCCGGACGTCAGGTGGTGGTCTGGCGGAACTCCGTGCTTCATTTATTCTTTATAAGTTATTGTCTTTTTAGAATATATTATAATTTGATGTTTTGATTTGGATATTAATATTTTTGATGGGTCATGTAAAAAAATCTATTGAACTGGTTGCACTCACTCTGCTCTTTATGATATTTCAAATAAATGGAAGAGCCCGACAAAATAGAAAAGTATACAAGAAGAACCTTCCGAGTCTTAGTAACTTGAGGCATTAACTTTTGTGTTCTAGTTTTTAGTTACTCTAATGTATAGATAATTAAAAGTTAACTATATTAGTGTGTGTGTGTATATATATATATATGAAAAATATTGAATTATTTTTGTTAATTATATTTCCAAAGCTATGATTGTCTTGTTGATGATTAAGTGATAATTATAAATTTAAAATTTTAATCTTTCCATTAAATTCTAGAACGCCACACCTTAAAAAGGCCAGTGACTCTCCTAGGCTAGCGCCTTTATTGAGCGTATATACTTAGTTGCATAGGGGTGTGTAATCATATTTGTGTTTTAAAATTAAATTTTAAGAAATAAATAAATAAAACAATGCTTTTACAAACTCATGTAAAGCTGTACGCCGTGAGGTCAAAGCAGCAGATCAAAAGCTAAACAGAATAGTAGCCCATGTAATTAAATGAAAGAACAATGAATTATCATTCGCCCTCTTCTTGCGCTGCGCTATGTGCTTAGCTAGACCGGTGGCGAAGTTGATCCTCCGATTAATTTACCGCTCTTTCCGGCGGCGTTAGCGCGCTCGAGCGCTCGCCTCTTGCCCTACAAAGACGCAACCCTCTGAGCGCAGATCTGTGGACAAACCAAGGACGTCGGGATGGGAAACGCTAGTGGGAAGGAGGAGATCGAGAACAGCGGCGAGGACTTCACAGCGAGAACGTACGGCCATCCGAGTCACTTCGGAAGCGGTCCACGCTGGTCTCCCTCGGTGGAAGCGATGGGTGGCTCACCGCCAGAGAGCCCCGGTCGGTCCCGATCGCCTCTCATGTTTGCTCCCCAGGTTTCGATCGTCATCTGATCCACCTTCGCTCCGGCCTTCCGTGCATCATTTCTTGTATGTTTATCTGTTTGTCTTGCTTGGTGTTCGATTGAACGCCCACTGAAATGATGGAGTCTGTTTCCATTTATATTCCCCGGTTTTTTTAGTGGGTTTAATTGCTGCTTCAGTGGCGACGGCTGCGGGGTGGATTGCCATAATGGGGAGGGCCTCCATTTACTGCTTAATTTTTTTTTCTACTTTTATATTGGTGAGTGTCAATTATTGATTCAGGATTAGAGTGCACAGGAAGTTTTGAGTGATCATTTTTGTTATCTCTATTTCTATTTCCCGGTTTTATTGTGATTGATTGTTGGGGTTGATTTATTATGGACGTCATAGTTTCTCCTCTCGTCGTAGCTTTAAATTACAGTTGAGAATTTTGAAGCCATTAGGTTTTAGAGAAAGTTCTAAGTGCAACTTGATCTTTTATGGTGCATTTTGGAATATTTTTAGATTGCTGCCATTGGGAGGGATGATCTGTGGATTGGCTACTAATTTATGCATTCATGTATTATTTTTTTTCTTCTCAAAACATAGGGATTTGTCTGATTGAGTGATGTACCAACTGATTGCTTACAACAACATAGCTTTTATCCCATCACGTGTGGTCAGCAACCAACTGATTGCTTAATTCAACTTAAATCTTGAGATATTCATACCTGATGCAGTGTCCATTTCTTATGAAATAGAGTAACTAGATATCTAATTATACAGTAGATTCACTTTATGGAGCCGCAGTTTCAGCTGGTTGACCATTTTTTTCTGCTTACCTTTGTTGCAAGATAGTTATGTTTGTCATTGCAATTATGCTTTAAATTATTAGGGACGCCTCACTAGAAAATTGATCAAATCAAGAACAGATTTTGATGTAAGTATTTGAATCAGAATTTTTCAAAATCAATTGTGGGAGTATTCAAACTCCACTTTTAGCAAACTTATAATCGAAAATAGTTTCAATGAGACAAATCCAAATATTACAAAAGTGCCTTGATGAGTCCAAATAGTCATAAATCAAGCATTCAAAAGTATGGTTGAAAACTATCATTGTAGTGATCAAATGATCTTTTGATCTTGCATGATTACAATCAAAACGAGCTTCTAAATGCAAGGAATCTAATGAGCTCAATATCGCTCAATTTTGGTGTCATTAAGACACTTAAATGATTTATAAATTTCTATGATCAAGGGGACCAACATCTACAATCACCAGACCAACGTCGCCCATCTTTAATTGACTTTAGCGTCCATTGTCGCCTGATCACTTTTGCTAATTATCGAACAACACTAATGTGCACCACTAATTATTTCTCCAGTATTTTTCATTACACTCAAAGAAGAGTAATGGAGGCATAGGGTCTTCTCTAGTTAGGAAGAAGATTGGTCTTCTATTATTTTCATGTGTAGTGGATTATTTCTACTAGGTTGGACCCCATGCTTTTTTTCTTTCTTAGGTTTTCCATATAAAAAACTCTTGTATCTCTCAGAAACTTCTTTTACTTTTGTGTGTTCGGATCTTAATGCAACACTAAGGGGCTGTTTGGTATCGGATTTACAACGGGATTTATGTGGGATTTATGCTAAATCTAGCCAAACAGTTTTTGTGCGCGCGTTAAATCTCGGGATTCGGTAAATCCCGGATTTACGGATTGACGGCTTAAATCCGGGATATAGTAAATCCAAGGGGTAGCCGGATTTAACGGGATTTATCCGAAGAAGCGCATGAAAGGGAGAAAGTTACTTCACAGCCATAGACGCCTGCAAAGCAATGAAGCAGAAATCTGCAAAGCAACGAAGTCGAACAACAACGAAGAAAATGAAAGGCAAAACAAGGAAGCCGAACAGCAACGAATCCATAACTTCCCGTCCGGGTTGACGAGAAAGTCGTCGCAGGAAGCCGAGATCTGCAAAGCAGCAAAGCCGAACAACAACGTCGAAAAGAGAAGATGAAAGGCAAACCATAGACGCCTGCAAAGCAACGAAGCCCAACAGCAACGACGAAAAGGGAAGATGAAAGGCAAACCATAGACGTCTCTAAGTTATTATTGATTAACTTAAGTAATATAATTTAAATTATTAATAATTAAGTAAATTAATTAAATAATTAATTGTATAATTAGTCCATAAATTAATTATCTAATTTAACTTAATTGTATAATTAGTAATTAAATATTAATATATTTAGATTAATTAATATAACAGACAGACAACGCCCACTTTATTGCTACATATCTTCTAATATACAACAGATTTACTTATGTTTGGGGTTATGCATTGGCACATAGTATGATCATGACACATGGTGGAAAGGGCATGCTTTTAGTTTCTGTTATATGTTACAATACTTGCACATGGCTGCCATGATTCTCTAGAAGCCTTTTCAAAAGTGAAAATAAGGATGAATATACATAGTGATGATACATGAATAGTGGATTGGTACTCAGAGCATTGCAGATTTATTTTTTATTATCCTGGGCTATGATGTTACTCCGTTAATCACCTCTATTTACTGTTTATTTTGTGGATTCCTACTACTTTTCAAGGCATATTGACTCTCGAACTATGTTTTCAGGTTCCTGTAGCTCCCTTGAATAGGCCTTCTGATGTCCCTCCAGTTTTCAGTCAATACTGGATGAATGATCCCTACGTTGTTTCAGATACTCCCCGTGAAAAGGAAATTCCGGTGTTAATAACGTGGAACTATGGTGGAAACAGTGTTTTAGTGGAAGGATCATGGGATGACTGGTCTTCTAGGTACAAGCTTTTTAATTAATAGAGCTCTATGGAAATCTCATCGCTTCATTATCATTTATTTAAGTTACATTATGTAGCTATTCCTGTTTCTAGGAACTTAAAAGGTTGTCAAAACATATGAGCATAGTGTATATGCAGGAAAACTCTCCAGAGGACTGGAAAAGATCATTCAATTTTGATTGTCCTCCCATCTGGAGTTTATCAATATAGATTTATAGTAGATGGTCGGTGGAGATATGCTCCAGATCTTCCTTCTGTTGCTAATGATATGGGCGATTTCAATAACATCATGGATGTCAATGTAAGTTTCTCTTTTGTTTTTTACATGTTGATGCTTCTTTACCAGCATAGTGATTTTGCAAATCAGCGTGAAACAGGCATTGTTTTCTTGCTTAATATGGTTTGGAATTTATGAGGCACAAACACTCTTGGAATGCCATCATGTTCTTTTGGATAGTTGGATTGTTAGAAATTTAAAAGTATAGGTTGGACATTCAGCGCATCACGGCATTTGTCATAAAAGTCCTGCTCTTGGATGCTATGTATGTATGTATTTATGCATGTATGAGTTTATGTATGAAAGTTCGTAAGGGGTGTTAAACTCTAAAGAACTAGTTCCGAGACTAACCAAAAGGGGGGTGAATTGGTTATTTAAAAATTTCTTAACGAAAAGAAAATCTTTTTGAGTATTGTAAAACCAACTATTTATGCATAAGTAAAACTTAATTTAACAATAACAAAAATCAGAGATTTCGCCCACAGAATAAATCATAGAATAATGCGTAAAGTTAAATGTGGAAAGGTAAACAGAAAGAATACACCAAAATTTATAGTTGTTCGGTCAACTTGACCTACATCCACTCCTTAGAGATTCCCTCTCCAAGTATTGCACTAAAATGAAGTGACTATCCTTTTGCTCTCACAGCAAGACGGAGAAGCCCTTACAAAATCTTTTCACTGATACAGTGAGGCAGAGAACCTTGAATCCTTTTACTCCCTTCTGGAGTAGGCATAGAACTTGGAAATCCTTTTTCACCCACCTGGTGAAGGCAAAGAACCCGAGAATCATTTTACTCCCACCTGGAGTAGGCAGAGAACATTGATCTAATGCTGAAGAAGATCTCCCTAGAGCCACCAAGGAACCAGAGAAACAACTTGAAGAAGACGACAAACACCTTGCCTGGAGCAACCTTTGTGATTCCCTCACAACTCCCCCTCATAAGGATCTCTCTCTCTCTCTCTCTCTCTCTCTCTCTCTCTCTCTCTCTCTCTCTCTCTCTCTCTGTTAAGCTATCACTTTTCCTTCTCTAAGCTCTCTCTTGGATCAACACCACATCAAAAGATTAACTCAAGGGTTAATACAATTGCTTAAATAGAGAGCCTCCAAAAGAAGCCATAATTTTCCAGTACAATCGATAGATCGTCCTGTATGATTAGTACAAAACAACCCTTTCAGCCATGATGACCATCATTGTCTTGTAAGATTAGTTTAAGAGAAATAGGCTGATCGTCCCAGACGATTTGATTATCGTTCTGGACGATTAGTATAAAACTTCTAAACTTCATACAGTATGATGCACGACGATGCCTTATCGTCCCATGCACTTCTCTGTCGTCCAGTATGATCTATCGTCCTGGATGATTAGTTGAAAAATTATGGTATTCGTCTGGTACGATAGTTGGAGATCCCTTATCGTACCAAATATGTTCTCTATCGTCCAGGATGATCGTCACCGATCTTCAGGACGATCATATCGAATTATGTTTTATCATAATTGTTCTCCTAATCATGGGATTAATTTAGGCATGATTGTCTTGAATCATTTAGGACGATGTGCATCGTTCTGTGCGATTAGTTTAAAATTTGAATATTAAAATAATGCCTAAATTGTGATTGGCGGCTGTTTCTCATCATCTAAACTGATCGTCATGGATGATATGGATCGTCCAGTACGATTAATTTAATCACTTGTATTAGCATGATTGCCCTAATTAGGGTTTCTATTTTTAACTGATTGTCCAATACGATTTGAAATCATCCTGTACGATTAAGTCAAAAACAAAACAAAAAAATCTCTAACACACCAAATTTCTCCCCCTGAGTGTGTGTGTGCAAGGTTACTTAGCTTGGGGTCTACCAGATACATGACTTGACTCAAGAAAAGTAAAAGGTACATTGAAATTGAAGTTACAAGCAGACTCAACCCTTGTCTACCCGATCTTGAGCTGAGTTGCATTGCAAGTGATCTTGTGGACCTGAAAGTTTAGTAAGCAAGACATACAAAATAGATATGCAATAATAGTAGTGGTAAAGAAAATAATAATATTTATTATCATCAAAATCACAATACTTGGATCTAGATTTGCAACAATGTATTTGTTGGGTGGAGGTTGAAAACCTTATGGATTTGGAAATTCTATCTTTGGACTGCTAAATATAAATATCTAAATTCTTTTATTTGATTTGATATTACTTTGATATTGAATTTCAAGCTCATTATGTTGTTGAATTTATGTTTAATTCTTCTTTCTTTTTTATTTTTAGTGATTCTCCCATTGGTAGTTTTAATTTGAAAACCAAATACTTTCATCTGTCACGTTTTTGAAGTTTAAAATTCTTGTTTGTTCTTCACTACGCCAAGCCAAATGGTGCAATCCAGCAAATTTCATCCTTTCGCAAAATAAGCATTAAACTAGCTAGTAACCTAGTGAATCTTTATCTTCCGTTTTTGTAAATCATATATTAAATTTGAGCTTTAAAATATAATCATAAATGTTTCCAAATTTCAATTTATATTCCCCCTCTTTTATCTTGTAATCTATGTGAAGGAAAAAATAATCATTATGCAGTGATTTTGTTTCTTTTCATATGTTACTTGGAGAAATTATTCTGTGCGGAGGCCGGACGGCGAGAACCGTCCGAATTTGCTTTCCTTTTGCTGCGTTTTATAAATATTCAACAAAATGGTAACAAATATATAATAATGAATGCACTTTTGCTGAGTATTTATAAAAGCGCATCAAAAGGGCGGCTAAAGCGCATCAAATATCCTACTAATTGCATATTTGCTGTCCTTTTGCTGAGTATTTACAATAACGCAGCAAAATGGCACCTAGAGCACAACAAATCAGGACGATTCTTACCGTCCGGTCTCCGCACAGAATAATTTCTCTGTTACTTGGGTTGGTTTAACTGTTTAGCTTTTAAATTAGTTGAGAATTTTCTTTGCTTCCTTTTATTTTGTGGAACCAGGAGTATGTTCCCGATGATCTGCAGAGCGTATCAGAATTCGAGTCACCGCCTTCTCCCGACTCCAGCTATAGCCGACAAATGCCGGTGGACGAGGACTTTTCAAAGGAACCACCAGCTGTACCCCCTCATCTGCATCTCACAGTTCTAGGAACTCCAAAACCCGAGGAAGCCTTCATCAGGCCCCAACATGTCGTTCTAAATCACCTTTTCATAGAGAAAGGATGGTCTTCTCAGTCCGTGGTTCCTCTTGGCTATACGCACAGGTTTCAGTCCAAGTATGTTACTGTTGTCCTCTACAAACCTGCAAAAAGATGATATGAAACAATCATTTCACAATTATCTTTTGCTGCAAAGCAAAATAGTACTGGAGTTGAACTGGATATTCTTACAAGCCATTTAACCGTCCAGTATGAAGCAGATTTTGCGACCTTGTTGGTATCAACGCTATCAAAGAAATCCCATCCCCAATAATCTATTTTCCTGTCAATAAGCAGTTTCAGAGGAGGAGGCTGAACAATCACCAGATGCCCAATTGAAGTTGGCCGTTCTCAACACTTGTGTTTTTTTAGCTGATACGCTATTTCCATTCTTCTTATTTGTTTTTTTTTTTTTTTATATCCTGAACTTATTTGGTTCCCTTCAAAATCATAAAAGCACTAAAATATGGTAACCAATGCTTGTTTTTTTAAATTATTAATTTGCACATCGTTTTGGTTTGCAATATGTTAGTGCTCAATTTCGCAAAGCCTGTTTTAGCATCTTTTTAGTGGTAGTTGAGCTCAATATGGGCAATGTTGCACAGGGCAAATTATTACATCCGGTCACCGGACGTAGAGATAGGTTCGGATATTAATAAAATATTATTTTAAATTAAGCTCGTCAAAAGCGCAGTCAAAGCGCACCTAAAGCGCAGGTGACGTGCCAAGTTTTTATTGGATGTCCGAACCTATTCTCAGCGTCTGATGACCAGATTTAATAATTTGCCATAGCACAGAGACTACGGTACATATCAGTTCAGTTGTGTGATTTGTTGTGTTTATCAATCATAAATGTTTTTTGTCCTTAAAACCCGTAATTTGGAGAAATTTTATCTGTCGTGCTTTAAGCATGATATGTCTTATAATTAAGCTGTCTTGTGTGTGAAATTGGGTCTAGAAAAGAGCTTCCATCTATTGAAGATCATGGGTATGTTTGGCCATGAGTCTGTTTGGGATGGATGCAGCTTTCAAGCTGTTGTGGAGAAAAGAACTTTTTGAAAAGCTGTTGTAAAAAGAAACTTCCCAATATAAAAAATTTTGTGAAAGTAACAAAAAAGTTATAGCCAAATAAAAAGTGTGGTTGCGTCTAAAAAGTAAAAGAGTAAGAAAGTTGACCCAAACTATTAAATCTCAACCATCCTTTGACACTTGATCTCACAAACATGATGGGAATCCATGGGAGGCTCACTTGGATCACGTCTATCTTTTTAAATCCTAGTCGTCCCTTAGACACTTCATTCTATGGCCAAGATAAGAATCCGTGGTAGGCTCACCTGGATCACGTCAATCTCCTTCCATATTTGGGCGGATGATTAATAAAGCATTATATTAGGACAATTATGTATGATTATGTAATTATTTGTTTCTTTATTAAGATGCCTTGTATAGATATTCAAGTAGGGATAATTTTGTGCATTAAAATCAATCATTTCTAATTCTTTGAATATAACATGGTATCAAACCTTTCATTATTATTGTTGGATTCATTTTACCTCTCCAATTCTTTGAATTTAACATGGTATCAGATCCTTCGTCAACATGCCTTCATTGTCGGTCTTTCTTTGTTGTCGTTATCCTATCTATCACCAAAGCCGCCTTCATTGTCGCTCTACTTGATATATTTGCGGTAAAAACAAGAAACTTTTTTTTGATAATGTCAAAGATTAATTTAACCAAATCATATCCTTCTACTTTCAAATGGAATGTATCATTCATGAGTCTTTCAGTATTCATATCCCACAACAAAATGGAGTTGTATAAAGAAAATTGATCACCTTCTTGCCTCTACATGTGCGCTTCTATTCCTTGGAAGATAGCTCTTGAGAAGATTTTAAGGTTTATGAGAGGAAGGAGAATGTGGCCGGGCTTTGTAAGTGAGGAGTGTTAGGGAGATCACACGGTTGCTCCAAGCTTGCTGCACTTTGCTCCTCCTGTGGTCCGAGAAGATCTTGTGGGAGGCTCTCTGAGGAGAAGATTATTCTACATTCGTGTCCTCTAAGGTACTATGCCTTCTCCATTAGGGAGAAAAATGAGAAGGTACGCTGCCATCACCAGAAGGGTAACAAAGTGCTTGGCTCTCCGCCATGCTGGGTTGGTGAAAGTGAGATTTGTAAGGGCTTCTCCTCCTTGCCGTGGGGGCAAAAGGAGAATTAATGTTTAGTGGTGAAATTCCCGGAGTGGAGGACTCCGGGGAGTGGACGTAGGTCAAGTGACCGAACCACTATAAAATCTCTGGTGTGATTTTTCCTTTACTGCATTTTATTTTCGTCAAAATTGCTTGGTGAAAATCGTTGTTGCAAATTGTGTTTGTAAGCATTCGCTTTCGGATTAATTAATTTTCTTGTTTAATTTTTAAAAACACACAAAAAAAACTCTTGTTTAATATTGTCTTTTTATTGCAACAAATTTCCAATTCTAGGAGTGGATAAAAAGCCCCCCATTTTAGGAGTGGAATCAAAGAAGTGGATAAAAAGAAACATCACAAGTTAACACTACAACAAGTCAACCCAACCCAAAAATATAATCCATATTTAGAGAGCTCAACAAAGAAGATATTGATAAGCTAAAACAACTCTCGGTATTCCTTGAAAAATCACATGCATCCTCTTCTCTTATACTTTTAGGTAAATATTCTATATTCATTGGATTAAGTGTCTCAAGAAATCATTTGAAAGATGCATGGATCATCGACTCTGGAGCCACAAATCACATGACACACTCCACTACTCACTTCATCAACTACACTTCTTGCCCAAGTGATAAAAAAATCATCATTGTTGTTGATTCTCTTACTATAATAGAAGGCCAAGGAGACATACCCTTATCGCCCTCCTTGACTCTAAAAAATGTGCTTCACATATGTTAATTGTCCAAAAATCTAATCTCCATATAAAAACTTATTAGTGATCATAATTTTCAAGTTCTATTTAACTATAGTTGTTGCTTATTTCAAGACCAATGATCGAGGAAGAAGATTGGACTTGCTAAGGAGAGAGATGGATTATACTACCCGAAAGAGATGAATAAATTCACTATTATCAATAATAGTTATTCTACATTATCCCTCTTTAATAAAAAATTTAATATTTGGCTTCATCATTTTAGAGTATGGCATCCATCTTTTTACGTCTTAAAAATTATGTACTCAAAACTTTTTTTTATAAATTGAAAAGTGAATATTTCATTGTGAAACATATGAATTAGTCAAGTATAAACGAGTATCTTATCCAGACAACAATGGAGATGTCATACCTCATTTTACCTTATTCATGATGATATATGAGGACTTTTAAAGATTCCTAACATCTCAGTGACCCAATAGTTTGTATCCTTCATTGACGACTACAGTCGAGTTTCTTGGATCTTTCTGCTCAAAAATAAATTTGACGTTAGCACTTTCTTCCTCATTTTTCACACTATGGTCCAAAATCAATTTGTGGTAAAAACAAGAAAATTTTGTTTCGATAATGTCAAATATTAATTTAATCAAACCATATCCTCCTACTTTCAAATGGAATGTTTCATTCATGAGTCTTTCTTCATTCATACCCCACAAAAAAATGGAGTTGTAGAAAGAAAATTGATCACCTTCTTGCCTCTACATGTGCACTTCTATTCCAACACAATGTACCAAAATCTTACCGAGGAAATCCTTATGACTGTCACATTTATCATGAATCGACTACTTTCAATAATCTTGGGACTAAAAATACCAATGGATATTATATCCACTTTTTACCTTGAATTTCGAACTCATAACAACCTCATAACTAGAATCTTTGAGTGCACTATCTATGTTCACATTCACAGTTAAAATAGATAAAAATTTGATCCAAGAGCACTCAAATGTATCTTTGTCAGATATTCATCCACCCGTTGAGGTTATATTTGTTATCACCCATCCATCAAGAAAACAAATATCTATTGGCATTACTTTTAACAAACAAAAACCTTATTTCATTAAACCTCATATTCAGGGGGGATACTAAAACAAAGGAAGAAGAGAAAAATGAGCTTGGCCCTCTTGACCTTCTAGCTCCACCTCAAATAAATAAAAATCTGAAATCAAACCCGAAGAAATTGAGGAAAAAACTATTATGGATAATATGAGGTTTATAAAAGTATATTCCAATTGTACAACTGAAAATTATGCTCCATAACAGATCTAGGAATCTGAATCGTCTCCTGAAATTGAGGTAAACACAAGTTCACCAAAAAACTCTCTTGTATTCCATAAACAACTTTATATCCTTCAATAACTTCTCACCTTCACCCAAAAATTTTCTGGTCACACTAAATGATATTTATATTCCTGATAATATTTATGAGGTTTTATCTGATGAAAATTATATCATAAAAGATGAAATATAGGCTCTAAAGAAGAACAATACCTAGGAGATCACCAACCTACCAGCAGGAAAACGATCAGTCAGCTACAAATGGGCATTCTCTATGAAATATAAAGTTGTGGTACGCTGAAAATGTATAAGTCGAGATTGATAGCGAAAGGGTAATTTTGTATTAAGAAATTGTTTCATAAAGTAATAAAAAAAGTATCTCAAACAAAACCTAAACTTTGCATAATAAGGAGCATACATCAATGCAACTAAGGGCCATAGGCATTCATCTTATCAAGATGAGCTTTTGGGTTAATAGAATGACCTGCCATTCACCACAAGTGAGAAATCTTTGCACTGAAGAAGATAAAAACTTCCTCTATAATAAATTTTAAAGCTCTTTAACCTATTTTAAAGTATATAAATATTTTTTATTATACTCACCTCAAATAGGTCTAAATATTATAAAATAAATATGAAGATTTTAAGGTCCATACTTATAAAAAAAATAATTAAGACAACTAATCCATTTTTTACCGCGTATAAACAATATAATTAGACCTCTCTTTTTCGGTCAAACCAATTAAATAATTTATAGCTATTTAATCCAATATTTTTTATTGACACTCAACACTACATGATGAATCTTGTCAAATAGTTTTCGGGTCGTTTTAAATTTATTCGGCATATTATTTATTTTTTTAGAATAACTTTAGATTCATGCATTTCATTAAAATTTAATGATACCAACACTCTTCAAATAAATGTATTCTTTAAATCAAATCAACCCATCCATATCAAGCCCCAAAACAAAACAAAAAAATTTAAAAATTTAAAAATTTATTCATCTTAGATCCATTGGTTGCTTGCTAGATGTGTATTACCTTTGGAAAATGGCTTCTCCTCTCCTTAATTTTCTTTTATGAAATTGACAAGCACTTGGACTTCTTTGATGCTTCAGGTGGGCCCACAAATGGGACCCTTAATTTTTTTTAATAAAAAATTTATTGTGATCCATAATCAACTATATTATTTTAGGATGAATATTGTTAATGTGTCTGATTTTTTAAAATAAATTTTTAAAAGTCTTATTAAAGCAAATTAAATTTGAGATTATTCTGACATTGTTTTTATCTTTCGGCTGTAAGATAACTTTTAAGAAAGTTAAATATAAAAAATTAAAAAATATATAAGCCATGCCAAAATATAGTTTATTCATTATTTTCAGACTTTGGGTGGTCCCCAATTATATATATATATATACTAGAATTTGCATCATAGTGGATTTTACTGTTCTTATATTTATATTAATTGGATGACCAAATGATATATAAATATATCTAGTCAAATTGAGCAGCTTAATGAGATGAATCAAACGAGTCAAAGGTCACTTAATTCCAACATCATTAAGGCAAGTAAATGTTGAATGAATGCTTTATGATAGAGAGAATCAATATGAGTTGTTCGATGGGGCACTCTAAAATTATTCTAGATCTTCTTCATATTTATGGAGTATGTTGCTCTCAAAATCTATAAATAGTCACCCACTCTGTACATGAGAGGATTCTTTTGGGACTTGGGATTTTGAGGCTTAGATTATGGGCTAAAGACTCAAGAGAGCTTTGAAGCTTGAAGCATCCTAGATCTCCACCCCGACACCATCGTCGGTGAACCCTCACCATTAGGCCTCCAATGCTAGACCTTTTTCCGACCTTCTTTGTCAAAAATTGGTGTAGAAGCCATCTTTGGGCCTTCGTCCAATTTATGTCGCTCGTCGATTACCATTCGTTCAACCATCGTCATCCGCCAATTATGATTTCTCCGACCACCATCGCCTGCGGATTAGGATCCCTCCGACTACCATTGCACGACTACTAAGATCTTTTTAACCACCATCACCCTTCAACTACACTCCCTTCGACCACTATCACTCAACTACAATCCTACCAACTAAACGAACATATCAACATTATTTTGAGAACAACTTTCATATCATTAGATTCTTCTAATTATCACCATATATTTGTGCTTTATATGATCTATCTTTCCAAATTGAGTCAATGTCTTCCCTCGATGATGGGCATCATTTATAATCAACAACAAACATTAGTGGATTAACTTCAATTGGGCAAGGCATCGTAAGTTTTCTCCCTTTTCAGGGTTTTACACGTAAAATTTACAGTGTCTCTTATAACACCCCTCTCTCTTATATGTGTGTGTTTTGGATCTTTGTACAAAACTAAGACACTAAACTCTATATCTCTCTACCATCGTGATTTTTCCATAGTATTGTTCCAAAAAAGTTCTAAGGCCACAATATTTCTTTTAGATAAATTAAGCTTGTACGTTACAACGAATCTACCTCTCACCATTGAAAATAGTCCTTCCCAAGAATCTTCGCTGCAGGTTTCTCAACCGTCTGATCTAAAACCAGCGGCCATCAGTTGAGGCTAAATTACGACTCCGCCGCCCAGAACCAACGGCTAGTATTAATCCACTTACAGATCGACCAATGAAATAAGAGAAAAATATAAGGGTATTTTCGTAAGAGAACCACTTACAAGCTGAGGCACGGCCGTGGGCGGTGAGCCCAGCAGCCCCAGCTCGGCTATAAAATAAAGGCTCCGCATTTTCTCTATTGAAGAGATCGATCGTCTTCCCCATCCTCTCTCTCTCACTCGCTTTCCCTATCCATCTACGACGCGCGCGCGGTTTCTCTCTATACGTTTCATCGCCTTCCCTCGGGCACAGTTTCAGCCGACTGCGGACAATCTCAGCCGTTCAAACATGGCCGATGAGCTGACGGACGAACAGATCTCTGAGTTCAAGGAGGCTTTCAGCTTATTCGACAAGGATGGAGACGGTGAGATGATTCGTTTGATCTCGCTTGATTATCCCTGGTTTTTAAGGATTCTTGTTGTTTATTCCGCTCTATCTGCCATTGATTGGATTTCAAATAGATCTCGGTGTTTCCGATAGGTGCTAGGGTTTCTTTCTTTGTTTTGTTTGGTGTTGTGAGGTTTATACCCTGATTGGAGGAATCCAAATAGCAGGCAGAAGAAACGATTGAGAAGCCTTCTTTTAATTGAAAGTTTTGATATAGATGCATTTTTTTTTCTTTCCTCACAAGCAGATCAAAAAAAAAATCTTTATTAATATTCATATTATAATATTATTAAATATGCTAAAAAATAAAGTATTTCAATGATTTGATTTGGAAAAATTATTTTTCTATTTTTAAAATTATATATAGTCCTAGTAAAACGACAAAGTCATTTTGCCAACACTCTTCAGACATCTGAGAAAAAGTTTATCATCATTTATTTTCTGTTTTACCAATTCCATTCTTTTCTTCTCTCAATTTTCAATCAGATTGATAGCATTCACATGACTGTGATGTAAACTCACAAAGCAAAATGAATGCTGTTGAAGATTCAAAACAGAAGAAAATTGTTTATTTAGTTTGGCTGCTCACATTTTTTTTTCATTATAATTGAAAATTTACATCCTCATATCTCTTAAATTTGGGAGATGATAATGAAGGAGTTGATATCAAAAGAAATCTGATTCGTATTTTATTGACATTAATAGAATATTGCTTGCCTTTGACACCACCATGCTTTTGTCACAAACTTATAAATCTAATAGACTCTAACACTATCCCTCCCATCCGGCCTTAGGACTCACGCACTCCCCCGATAACATGAGTGGAATAAAACTCAAAACTCTAATTTTTTCCCAAACCATGAATGTTTCCAGTTGTACAGCCAAATATATGCAGAATTAGCAAAGCCGAGATTGACCTTTTCATGTGAGGTCAATCTAGCTCGGAATAGGCTCGCTAAGGTTTCCAAAGAACTCGCCCAAACATGCAAATCCCTTCCATTGACCTGGTGACTTGCTCAGTGAGGTCGGCTGGGCCGTATGACGTCATGAGGTTACTAATCAATATACACATGCGTAGTTGGGCTACACAACTCCCGACCCTTATTAAATTTTATAGCCATATAAATAGCTAATCCTATGGTGTCCCAAGCCTTGGCCCAAACCTATAAAGAGAGAGTCAGAGGTTGAGCTTAGGTTATGCAATCTTTGGAATTCAAGCCTATTTAAGAAAGATCCAATCTCCACTCCTTGGAATTCTTTCTCTCTCCCTTTCTTTACTCTTTTTATGTGGTTTGGCATTTAAACAGCCTGCATTCACACTTAATATCCTTTAGGATTGGGATTCTACTAATCCGCTTACTCCATAAGCCTAGGCTCCTTCTCTCAACAAGTAGGTTGAGAAATCTTCACCACTTATTATTTATAATGAACGAGTACAACCCAACATCTAAACTTAACGAGCTAGGTATAGCCTAAGTACTAAATATAAGCTAAAATACTAAAATAAAAATTCTTTTGAACTTGTTGGTGATTCACTGGCTATCTCCACCAACCCAATCTAATCTAATATTTATTCAAAGATGGAAAGATATACAATGTAAAAACACTTACCAAAGTTCTCCTATATATTACAACAGAGATCACCAAAGAAATTCATCAAGAATTTGACGAACTATTTCTTTATTCGACTTTCCTCAAAATGATGCATCATATTAAGCTTTAAAACTCTATATTTCTATTAGCCATTCATGGTGGAGATGGAGTACATATAGAAGAAAAGAAGATGTCAGAATAGCACTTAATACGTTTTTCCAAAACCCAGGAGATCACTAAGGAAATTCTTCTAGAATTTGATGAACAATTTCCTCCAAATTTTGTCAAAATGATGTATCTTATTAAGCTCTAAACATTATATTTATATTAGCCATTTAGGGTGGAGATTTAGTACATATAGAAGAAAGGAATTTGCAGAAATAGCACTCAACAAGTTTTTACAAAAACCCAAAAAGTCAAACTACATGTTATACCAAATTTGTAGTGATTTCAATCAATTATATCTACGATTGGCACTAGTTAATCTCACTGTTTTAAACTGTTGGAGAACTTCTATAGACTATATGCAAATCTCTGGTGTTTGTATAATTGTATAACATTAATATTTCATCCTATTTATATAACATTAATTGTACATTTTTGCATTAGGATATTTTTATATTTTTTATTTTTTAATAAATTATTTCTAAATTTTTTAATATTTTATACTATTCTTAGAATACTGCAATGTAATAGGGCTTCATGGGACATTTGCACTATGTTGCACTATTCTTAATCAGCAAACATGATAATAGCATAACTTCTTCCTAAACAATAAGGATTTGTTGTAGGATGCCACCTAAGAATAATTTAAGTTTTTTTTTTTCTTTCTTAACATCTTGTAGCACAAACTTTTACTATATATTAGAAACAATAATGATGTATTATTGATAATTTCTTTTTTAATAGAAGAAAAGTGACAATTATTTGTGGAGCAACCAAATCTTATATATTTACATAACCAGCGCCCTCCTACCTCCATTTGTCAAACTCTCATCTAAATATAAAAAAATTCATAACAAAACTATCAACTTTCTATCTCAATATTTAATAAAATTTCTAATAGCTTGGTCAAAGCATGTGCAAATACATAGATTCAATCATTCATTTTTTTACATCGGGTATTATATTTGTAAATAGACATGATTTTGATGACACATATTTAATTTTCGTCAACATGTAAAAGTAAGGATTATTGGATTAATTCATGTATGCTATTTAGGGGATTTGAAGCGGACGAAGGATTGTTAAAATTGAAAAAAAGTGGAAAAACCTACTTTGAATTTTCTCTGTTGATTCTGCATAAAGCATGGAAGTATATATAAATTCTCAGTAAGTCTTACAATAGAAAGAAATCAAATCATTAAAAAAAATCCCTAACAGGTGACAACAATTAGAAGAGAAAGACACAATTATAATGTAAGAGTTATAAGAGAATCAATCCAATGGTTAAAACCCTTAATTTGTGTGCTCAAGGTTCTCTATCAAAGTTGGTTGACGTGTGGGTTTCATGGATCGTTCAACACGTTTTAAGTTTGCATACAATATTTTTGAACTTAGAGGTTGAGAGTCATTTGGTGAGAATGTTTGCTTGTTGATTTTCTTTTGATATGTATAAAGTGCAAATGAACCTCTTTTCAGTTTTATTTTTATGAATATCTATCCACTTGTACATGCTTACTGCGTACATGTTGTTTTTTATCATGGGTGATACTGGTGCCAAATATATTATCACAGTATATCTTTATTAGCCATTCCCATTTGATTTTTTAATCATCCTAAATAATTTGATTTGCAGAAGCTCGCAAATCTATTGATTAATGACTTTAAATAGATTCAGCTCTAGATCTTGAAATAACAATTTTTTCTTGTTCCTCTATGTCAGGAGACTTCCTAAAAAAATATGTATGATATAATCATGGACCTTCCCATCCACTAGTAATATTGAAGAATTTGTATTAGTATACCCTTTAATTTGTAAAGTATTGTACTTTTTATAAAGAATTCATTTATCAAGGTGTAATTAAAGATACCTAAGAATTCTATAAACAGGTTGAAGATGCGATTCTTGTGGTTTTTGTATGAATTAATAAATAAGACTCACTGCAAATGTGATTTCTAGATTAATCATAAGTGTAAGATAGACCATTTTTTAAACTCATCTTTAATAATTTCTTATCTCTACTTTTTTATTGTTCATTTGCATCTAATGTTCGACCTAGTTAAGTTGGAGTTTCACAAGTTAATGAATCATTTTTATTTCTTTCAGTAGATCTATAATTTATTTTTATTCATTCTTTGTTTTGATTGAACAACTTCTATTCCCAAAAAGTAGTTGAAATTGCTAACTTTTTTATTTCAAATTTTCAACAAGATTTTTTCTAAGAGACTCGTTTTTTCTATTATCATCATATGTGATAATTATATCATGATTATCATCAATATATATTATGGGAATTGATATTTTATCATTAATGAAGTATTTTATGAAGAGGGCATGATCTTATTAGCTTTGGTTGTATTCAACTTCAGTAATGACTTTTATGAATATGCTATGTTCTTGAAGATTATTTAAAGTCATGTAAGGTATTTTTTAATTTAAAAGAACTATCAAATCCATATGGTGAATTCATATAGACTTATTCTTCAACATCCCTTTGTAAGAAAGCATTTTTTACATCATGTTATTGCATTAACCATGCAGGTATTGCTGCAAGAGAAAATTTAAGATGTGTATTATATTTATTTTCATAGCATGAGCAAAAGTTTTTTAGTAGTCAATTTCATAGGATTGCATATATTCTTTGGCTATCAATCGCTTTATACTGTTTAAGGCTTACATCTGCTCTATTTTATAGAAAAAAATTAATTTGCATTCTACTATTTTCTTTTATTTATGATAGTTCAATAATTTTTCAACTGTGGTTCTTTTCAAGAGCATTCATCTCTTCTCTCATTTCAATTGTCTTGGTCTTATTTTCAAGTTCCTAAAATAGAGTTTGTGGTATTGTAATGAAATTTAAGTTAATATTTGTTATGATTTCCTTATGAGTAGTAGAAACTTTTTGAAAAGATGTGTGCTAGAAGATGAGATACAAAAGAGTGTAATGTGTATAGCGATAGGTTGATCATACCTGATAATGATTTCCAGCATGGAGCTTACTAGAAATTTTATTGGGCTTATTTCTTCTTATATAGACTTGAAGGGATACAATTTTTGAATTTTGGTTAGGCTTGTGCTTTCATGAGGGTATTATGTCTGAATTTATTGGAATTTGTGCTGTAAAATATCAAGATAAAAGATAGATGTTTTATCAAATTTATTTTTTAGATGAAAGTGCTCCCCTTGAATGTGTTTGGTTAAACAAATTTTACTTCTCATCAAACATAACATCTTTTAAAATAAGAAATTTTTTGAAGGTAAGATAATAACACTTATTTCCTTTTTTTAATAGATGAATGGTGAATAAAAACACATTTGAGAGCTCTAGGGTTTAATTTATCCATGTTATTTGTGTATGTGTATATAGGCATTGCATCGAAAGATTTTTAGAGAAATCCTTATAGGAAATTATTAGTGAGGAAGAATTTAGCTTGATAGTTTAGAGGAGTTTTGAATTCAATCACTTTTGAGGTATTTTATTGATTATTTATGCAGTTGGGATTATTTTTCTCCCCTAATTTTTTGTTTGCATTTTTAATTCCGGAAGAGAAGTGTCCTTTTGACTTTCAAAAGATGACGATTTTTTCATTTCTACCACTCCATTTTATTAGGGAACTCAAGATTGGATGATTGATTGATGGTATATTCTTTTTGGAAGAAAGACAATAATTTATAATTAAGCAATCACCGTTTCGCTGCCCGCTACTACTGTCGTTCGTCGTCGTAGCTCGCCGCCACCACCATCGGCCGCTATCGGTCATGCTTTATACTGCATTTATTTTATGTCAAACCAAACAAAAAAAATGTTAATCCCTACATTTATTTTACATTCATCCAAACTACTTTAAAGTATTTTAAATATATTGCATTATTTTTCCAGTACATTCCTTTTTTAGCAAAAGAGTTTGTAGCAGTAAGTCCCTCACCTTGGGTTTGATGGTTTCCATGATCGATGTTTCAGAGAGCAGAGCATCGAGCATTATAGTTCTTACTTCTTTGGCTTGTATAAGAGGAAAAAATCTTGTTTAATGATGGCAAATTTTCTCTGTTTACACAAATTTGGTCAAGTCCTTCAATAAAGCCAAACACCCTTTCTCTTTTTATAAAATGCTTGAGAATTACCGCATCATAGCATAATATTTTCTTGAGATCTTGATAATAATAAAGGTCAGACCAATAAAACTTTGTTCCATTAAAGTACTTAAAAATAATAATATTTTGCTTTGTTGTTAAATCTTACTTTTAATCTCACATGTGATGGCAACATCCTTTACTTTTGAGTACATCCATTTGATGGCTCTCTTTTTTTTTTTTTTTAGTAGAGATGAATATATATAATCCACTTATTTAAAACATAATGGTATTCCACATTCATGTCGTGATCATGAAATTTGCTTCATTCTAAAGTATAAACTTCAAATCGTTAGCTTCGGAGGAGGATTCACAAGGTGATGGATTTTTTTCCTTTGAAAAATGTTTTCACAATTTGGGATAACTTCAGATAGTTTCTCTCATTCAAACAATATAAGGTTTGTAGCCCCTAGAGTTCTCCCTTAGTCTGATTTTTACTATTCATAGTGTCTTACTCGTTGAAAGGTAAATCAAACAAACCAAACGTAATGAAGAGAAGGAAGAGTCCCGAGAAGAAGGAAATAGAACAAAAGTTAGAAGAAGAAAATCCTAACTTGTTTTGATACTCATCATGTAAACTTGTTTATTGTAATTTTATATGACCGCATTTTTATAAGAGTATGTTCGCTTGCAGAATTTTTGTAGATATACATGTTACATGATTGTTTGGTGCTCTGATAAGAAAGTTTTTAATTAGCTTTAGGTTATTCTCGCAGGAATTCAACTCTTAATGATTTAGTTGCACTTGTAACAATATTGTAGGTTATTATTTTACAACTACTGAGAGAATATATTGCACCCTTAAATGGTTAGATAATCACATATTTAGACTTGTTATTCTATCTGTTTTGATTTCGGTGGTAGGGTTTGTTTGATTTTTTTGCTCATTGCTTTAATTTTCAAATCACAACTACAGTTTTGTTTGGCTATTATTTCCCTCTCTTTTTTTTTTTAACTTTTATGGCTGAAGCTCTTTTTTATAACTAGAATTACTAATGTGTTAGTCTAAGAAAGTATCCATTTGATCTTTTAAAGAAATAAACATATTTAAAATATTCACAGTAGCTTTAAAAAAAATTTACTTTCCCCATAACAACTTTGTAATCATTTTTTTTTAAATGTTGTAGCCGTCCCAAGCAGATCATTTATTACTTAGTTATTTTGGTGGCAAAAATTAGTTTTTAACCACAAAGACTTCTGAAAAGCTGTAGTAAGAAACAACCATTTGAAATTGTAGTTGTTATCTAAAAAACAAAGATATTAGCAAGATGTCCCAATTAGACTCTTAGTCTCATTATAAAGCTTTTGTTTTGATCGTTTCAATAGTTTGGGATTCAGTTTCGATTTTAGTTTGTTGACTTTTTTTTAATTAAAATAATTTCAAAAATATGTAATTATGGCATAACAGTGATGGTTATTTGTATTTTCAATATGCTATGAACAGCTAACCATTCTTTAGATCCTACTGTATCTCTTCTCCAAGCTCTGTTTCATTTACCTTCATTTATGGATGGAAAATTGACAGGCTGCATTACAACTAAAGAGTTGGGCACTGTGATGCGTTCTCTTGGCCAGAATCCAACAGAAGCAGAACTGCAGGACATGATTAATGAAGTGGATGCAGATGGCAACGGAACCATTGATTTCCCTGAATTCCTAAACCTCATGGCTCGCAAAATGAAGGACACTGACTCTGAGGAGGAACTTAGGGAGGCTTTTCGAGTCTTTGATAAGGACCAGAATGGTTTCATCTCTGCCGCCGAGCTCCGCCATGTTATGACCAACCTGGGCGAAAAGCTCACCGATGAGGAGGTTGATGAGATGATCCGCGAGGCCGATGTTGACGGCGACGGACAGATCAACTATGATGAGTTTGTCAAGGTCATGATGGCCAAGTGATGAATTTATGTTTGAATCTTGAAACTAATTCCATTTCTCTCTGTGTTGGGTTTCTTCTGTTTGTATCTGTATGCAGCTTTATTTTTTGCTGTTTTGTTTTATTCTTATTTCTTTTTGCAAACTTTTGCAGACTTTAAAGAATGAGGAGTGCTCTGTTTATAGTCCTGAATTCTAATAATTTATGGAGTATGCTGTGTTTTGTTTTGGTTGCTAGTTTGTTTGTTTAATGCTTTTCTAGCTGTATTCATATTTGTGCTGCATTTGATTAATTGTATTTTATGTTAAAATGTTTTGCTTAAACGAATGATTTTAATAATTGGACTGAATCGATTGTTATGGTTGAATCATGAACTGGTCGGTTTCCTTTTTATAATCAGTTTTGAATCAAACTGAGATAAAAACACTCACCCGGCCGGTCGGACGACCAAACCGAAGAATCGGAGCCGGTAGTTAACCGTGTGATTCAAACAAAATGCAATGTGAGCCGTCCATTTTAGATCTAAGGTTCAAATGTAAAATTAGAAAAATAAGTAAGCAAAATTTCACATTCCCCCTCCGTTCGTTCCGTTCGCTTGCGCCCCATTCGTCTTCGTCGCCCTAAGCTTTTTCGCTCATGATGGGCAAACTCAATGAGCTCAACTTTTCAATGCTCAACGCAGACATTGTGGCATCATTCTCGCTATCCTCTTCTCTATTCATCATGGGATATAAGTTTGTTTGAAAAACCTAATTTGTAGTTTCGAATTTATGCTATTGATAGCAATTGCCACTATATGTATGTTGTGTTATAGGTCTTTCCATTCTCCAAGAAAAGTTCTTCCTAAGTGAGCTGCTTTCCGTAATTTATTTGTTACTAAAACAGAAGAAGTTAAACTGTCGTTAATGCTATGGTTAGGTACTAACCTCCCTTAATTAGAAGTTAAACTAGTTAACTAATTACTATAAATAATTAACAACTCATTTGTAATTTTCAGCTTATTATGAAGATCACTTAAATAACAACAATACATTAATTAATTTTAGTTTATGCCTAAAAATTTAACCTTTACATTCTTTTATCACTATTTATTAGTATATATATGATGTGAATGTTAGAATGGAAGCTTCTAGTGCTCAGCCTGCAACATCAAGTCTTATTGTGCATGAAAAATAGATATTGCTTGTAATCATTTCACTAAAATAGAGGTGTTAATGGAAAGAAAAAATTCAAAATGCTTACATTGTGGTACTGAGGTGCCATAAACATAATGAAATAACATATAGGAGGAGTTAAGGGGAACATAGCTTCCTACAAAAAGGTATCACATGATGTTTGTTACTAAATGCATGAGAATTTAAAGGATATATCAAAAATAAAATAGCAAGAACAAGAGGAGCTGGAGAGTGCACCTATTCATATAGATGTTGTAGAGGAAGGAAGGGATTCTTCTTCTCTTCCCAAATCACAAACATCTGAAGTACATGGAGTATGAGTTGATAAAAGGAAAAATAAAATATGATGACATAGAGATTTTTTTAGCTCTCAGAACTAAGTATGAATCTTAACCATTGCTTAAATGCTTCTTAGCATCCAAAAAAGTAATATATCTTATAGATATTGTTGTAGCAAGGTTGTTCTTTGATTGTTGCATCACATTCAATGCCTTGAATTCACTCTATACTTAAAAACTTTTGATGTCATCATAATCATAGGTCTATTTTACAAAGTTCCATCGTATTATAGAATGAGAGTTAATATGCTTAGAGATTGCAAAGATGAGTGCAGATTATTTATTGATTCCTATATATAATTTTAGAAGGAGATGGGATGTATAATCATGGTTGATGGCTAGACTAATAACAAAAGCATAACACTAATAAAATTCCTTATGTACTATCCACGTGGTGTATATTTTTTAAAATCAGTTGATGCATCTACTCGGACCAAAGATACCCCATCCTTGTGTTTTCTGTTAATTGAGGTAGTTGAATGGATAGACCCATATAATATAATGCAATTAATAACTGATAGTACTGCAAACTACAAGAAAGCTGGTGAGATATTACATGAAAGATTCAACAACATTTATTAGTCACCTCGTATAGCACATTGTTTCAATTTGATTTTGAAGGACATATATATCATGACTCACATATAAGAGCTTACTAGATAAGCATCAAATGTGATAATTTTTATTTATAATCATATATTTATAGTATATGACTTAGAAAAATAGCATATTGGAAGTAGATTGTATGACGAGGAGCTACACAATTTACTACTATCTTCAAAACTTTAAGAAGTGTCTATGATCCCAAGCATGACTTACAAGCTTTAATCATTAGTAAATTCTATACATATTCAAAATTATCAAAAACCACCAAAGGAAAAGAGGTTGTAACTATTATTTTGGATTTAAATTTTTGAAATGAGTGTTTTGTTGTCTCAAAGTATCTAGCCCATTGATTAGAATGTTGCGTATAGTTGATTCAGATGAAAAACTCTCATTATGATATTGATATATATAGGGTACGAAAGACAAAAAAAGCTAGTTTTAGAAATATGAAGAGATTATACAAATTATACACCGCTATTACTAAGTAAAGATGAGACTCTCAACTTATGTAAGACTTCTACTTATGTGTATGTTTCTTGAATCCTCATTTTCATTATGACAAATATGAAAGTGCTTTGATACCACTTGAAAGTTCGTTAGGGATGTTATACACTATAGAACTGACCCAAAGTTAATTTAAAAGAGAGAGGTGAATTGAAAAACTTTAAAACCAAAGATAAAACTCCAACCAAAATCACCACAAACAAGTGCAGAAGAAAAATAAATGCGGAAGCGATAATATGAAAAGAACACACAAATTTATAGTGGTTCGGTCAAACCTTGACCTACGTCCACTCCTTGGAGGCACCCTCCAAGTATTGCACTAAAACAAGTGTCTCTCCTTTAGCTCCCACAGCTAGGCAGAGAAGCCCTTACAAAATCACTTCCATCTTCCCCGGTGCGGCGGAGTCGCCGTGTCCTTTGACACCAAGGAGATCTTCTTCTTTGGTGAACTTATCTCGAGACAAGCCTTGAATCTGATGGTACTAAGGTGCGAGTTCGCCGGAGCAACCGTGTGGAATCTCCTCCACACTCCCTTGAGTTCCTCCCCCTCACAGGATCTTCTCCCTCTCAAACTCCACCCTTTCCTCTCTCCCTTTCAAGCTCTCTTTTCAAGTTTCCCCCACAAGAACGAAGCTACAATGGCTGTCAAAGACACTTACAAAAGTTGCCATGCCATAACTTAAATAGAAGATCTCAAAACGAGCTCATTAATGCAAGTTGCCGACATTATCGTCCAGGACGATAGGCATATCGCCTTGGCCGATTAGTTCAAATTCAGCTCAACGGCCTGGGACGATTTGGGACGATCAGAAGAAAATTGGTTATATCGTCCTGGTCGATCTCAGGCCGATCTCACGATCATCCCGGACGATTAGTTTAAAATCGATTTTAATCATCCTGATCATCGCCCTGATTTGGTGCTGGCCGAAGTCAATCGTCCAGGTCATCGTCCTGGCCGATCATAAGATTGTTCTGGACGATGTGATCGTATCAATCAGCCATTAATGATTTCCAAATAATACCATATCAATTTAGGTATGATTGAGTTAGATCGTCTTAGACGATATAAATACCATCCTAGCCGATTTCCTAAAATAAAGAATACCTTAACTGATTATGGCGGTTGATTCTTTCTAAATTGAGAACATCGTCCTGGCCGATACAAGTATCGTCCAGTCTGATGTGTTTATGACGACTGTCTTAATGAGGATGCCCTAATTCAAGTTTCTGATTTTGGATATATCGTCCAGGACGATATAAATATCGTCCAGGCCGATATTACCAAAAATAAAAATCTTTTAGGGAATAGCAGGAAATCTTCCAAGTTACAAATCAATAGGTCCCACAACAAATACAACAGACTCAAGAAAAGAAAAAGATTACAAACTTACTCAGACCTAGTCTACCTAATCTTGAGCTGGTTCTAAATTGTAGTCCGATCGTGTGAACCTGAAACGTTAGCACATAAGGCAATCGTATGGAAATAAGGAATGTTTGCTATCATCAAAATCATAAACCATAGATCCGCAACAATCTCCCCCTTTTTGATGATGACAAACAATTTCAATTTGAATTTTCAAAAAGAATATTTTCTCCTAATCTCCCCCTTACTAGAATAACACTTAAAAAAAAAGGAATATAAAAATATTTTTGTTGTTTTTGAAAAAAATTTAACATAATATTCTCCCCCTTTGACATTATCAAAAAAGAGAGGAGGTACGAAAAAACAAAACACAAAGAACGTTCCCTGATCTAGTGAGAAAACAAAATATTCTTAAAATGATAAAGTTACATTTTAGTTTTAATCAAAATCATAGTAGAATCAGATTTGACAACGCATAGCCTAGAAATGGTTAGAAACTCAAAAATTGATAATCCAAATTCAAGTTTTTTAAAAAGGCAAAAAAACTTTTTAATTCAAGATATAAATCAAGGAATAAATTAGAGAAAGAAATAATAATTTTTCAAAAACTTCTTCTATAAAATATATCTAATAGAAGATCAATGCATAAATTTTTGAATCAAGAATCAAGATTTTCAAACTCAAGTATCGAAAGTATCAAGGGTTTTCTTAAGCTTTTTAAGAAGTACAAGAATGGTAAGCATTAACTTTGTGGGCTCATTTTATGCCTCTTGACAATTTGTTGGCGCACTGCGCATCTTTTGATACACTTTGTGTATTCTATATTTTCATTTTGGCGTATTTGCGCATCTTTTATTTTTGGCATCATTGGCCAATTTTTTGAATATGCTTCATTTCTTAAATCTTAAAAACAAATAAAAACCCATCTTAGTGACAAAGCGAATTATTTGATTAAGAAAATTATGAGTTAGATTCAAAAACTTGCAAAAGATTCCTATGCGATAAATAAAATGTAGGGAGATTAAAAATTTTGTTTCAAAAACTATTTAAAAGATGAAAAGATTTTAAATCAAAAGTAAATGATAACCTCTTTTAGAAAAATAGAGATTGAAAGTTAAAAATATAATGAGTTTCATTCCTTTTACTGTTTTAGAGAAGTCAAACACAACTTACCAAAATATTTTAAAAGAAATCAAGAAGTGTATTTTTAATTTTTAGAAAAGTGAATGTGTGTATTGATGAGAGAAAAAATTTAACGAAAACAAAATACACAAAAAAATGAAAAACCGTCCTGGCGATATAAATACCATCCTTCGCGGATTTCCTAAATAAAGAAAACCTAAACTGATTATGGCGGCTGACTCTTTCTGAATTGAGAATATCGTCCAAGGCCGATGTGTTTATGACGGCTGCCTTAATGACGATGCCCCTAATTCAGGTTTTCTGATTTTGGACATATCGTCCGGCTGATATTACAAAAAAATAAAAATCTTTTAGGGAATAGCAGGTATCTTCCAAGTTACAAATCAATAGGTCCTCACAACAAATACAACAGACTCAAGAAAAGAAAAAGATTACAAACTAACTCAGACTAGTCTAACCAATCTTGAGCTGGTTCCAATTGTAGTCCGATTCGTGTGAACCGAAAACGTTAGCACATAAGGCAATCGTAGGGAAATAGGAATGTTTGCTATCATTCAAAATCATAAACCATAGATCCGCAACAAAATAAAATTAATGTCACAAAGGCGGAAATTATGCAAGGTCTTTTTGAGTTGATAGAGAATAAAGACATTTATCAAAGCCTAAATTTGTAATGAATGAGGTCATACATTTTTGTGATGCCTTGTAAAGTTTTGAAAAGTCGATTACTCTCATAATGACAAAAATAAATGCAACAAAATAAATCTCTTTTTAATGTCAAATACTAATATTTTAATTTTATAAAAAAAATATTCAGTAAGATCTCTCACTTGATATTTGTTAGATGAGTGGTAGAAGATGTTCAGATCAAATGCTCCAAATTTATAAAAATTAGTAATAAGAATTCTAAGTTAAACATCATTCTCCTCAGGCTGTGAAAGAAATTGAAGTATTTTTTGAATAAATTCACTAAAAGATGCGTAATCTTTTGGATCATCAATGACTTAACGATTTAGTATGTATTCTGACGCACAACATGAATAATATAAATTTGAATGATCATTATAGTATAGGCTTAAAAGCCTTTTGCAATGATAAAATTGAACATATTAGCAAATGTACAAATATTATGTAATAAGTCCTAAAGATCTAGAGTTGATGTTTAGTGTTTCATTACTAGAGATTCTAATATGTGATACTTATTATTTTAATGTTATAAGCCACTTATATTGAAGCAATTTATTTATTCATTAGAAAATGCGTGTTGCGTGCTCGATCTAGGTTTTATGGATAATTAAAATTTAAAATGATTAAAAAACAAATTATAATAATTTATGCACTATAAATAATATTTGACTTGATGAACTTTAATCATTTAAAAGTTAAAATCTAAAATTATTACTTATTATATAAAAATATATGATAATGGGTAGGGGTGTCAAAATGGGTTAATGAGTCAGGATTAAGTCCGACTCGAAATTGTCCCAACCTGAATTCAATCAACCCAAACCCAACACATTTAATAAATGGGTCAAAATAATGAACTCAAACTCAGCCCGCTTACAACTAGAATAACCTAATAGCCCGTTCATATTAATTTTTTTTTATAACTTATCAACTATAAATTTTAGATAAATTGATCGAAAAATAAAGATATTATACCAACAAGCTAAAGAATTAAGAAAATTCTTAAATATGTAACTTTTGTATCAAAATCAAGTTCATGGGTCAACTCGAATCAATCATATTTAAAAAAATGGTAAAATTTTAGACCCAAAATTCGTTCATTTATTAAACGGGTCAAATAGAGTTCAAATCAAATTGACGGATCCAATTATTTATTAGCGTACCTTCTTACCGGGTACCGAAGACGATCCGAATCCGCTTTTGCTGGAAGTCCATAAAACTCCCAACCATCGATCCCTGACTCTTCCTAACGGATCAATAACATCTTACACGTGTCTACAATATCCACCGTACGAACTAATACTTATCAAGCGCCACGGATGTGCCAACTCATCGATCCGACCCACTCCTTTTCCTCCAGTAGAATTCCATCCCTTTCCTCCATATATATCCGAACAAATCCCCTCTCGTCCATCCAACGCTAGCTTTCTTCTTTCCCATCGTCGTCTCGCTCAACCAAATTCGTTCTCTTCGATCTTATTTACATGGCGCCAAAGGCCGAGAAGAAGCTGGCGGAGAAGAAACCGGCACCAGAGAAGCCCGCGGCCGAAGAAAAACCAGCGGAGAAGAAGCCGGCCGAGAAGAAACCGAAGGCCGAGAAGCGGTTGCCTGCGAAAGATGGAGGCGACAAGAAGAAGAAGAAGAAGGCCAAGAAGGGTACAGAGACCTACAAGATTTATATCTTCAAAGTCTTGAAGCAGGTTCATCCCGACATCGGGATCTCTAGCAAAGCGATGAGCATTATGAACTCGTTTATCAATGATATCTTTGAAAAGCTGGCAAATGAGTCCTCTCGTCTCGCTCGCTATAACAAGAAGCCGACGATAACTTCCCGCGAGATCCAGACGTCTGTGCGACTTGTGCTTCCTGGCGAGCTTGCGAAGCATGCTGTGTCTGAGGGAACAAAAGCTGTTACAAAGTTCACGAGTTCTTAAGCTGCAGGTCGGGCTATATTATCATATGGATGATTGGCCTTTGATTTTATGTTGATTTATAGTATGTCTATTTTCTATATTGTATTAAGCAATTGAAATGTTATGATGTATGAGAATTGGTCTGTTGATCGAATGGAAGTTTTATATGGTAATCAATTCATCACTTTTTATTTTTAGGGTTTTGTTTAAATTTTTTTGGTTGTTATAAGGGTTTCGAATATCTTGCATTGCTTCAGTGATCAATGTCTATATCTTATTACTGCATTGATCGACTGTTTTACCTCTTCAAGCTGAAGAGTTTCTGCAGAATTAGAGACTTTTGTGGCCAATCTTCTTTTCTTATATCATTTTTTGCTCTTTTGCTATGAATTTTCTAAATTTAATGCTGCTGCCAAATTCGTGAATTTTTTTTTCTGATCACAGGTATGTATTATACCTAATTGGTATTGTTTCGCTTTGGTAAATAAATTTTTTAAAGTCTGTGTCACATCATCAAATAATTAACTTGATAGCGCATGAATCTCAGAGCAAAATCAAGTTGGAAACTTCCGAAATTAAAATTCGGACCATTCGAACTTTGATTTTAGCATACTCATCGTCAAAATGAATGTGTTGGAAATATGAACCCAATGACGTTGAATTTTACACAATTCAAGCCCAAATAAAGTTTAAATCAAGGACCTGAGCTGCTGTTGGAAGATTTGAACCACAATTTGGATTAACAAATAGTTTCCAAACATTACTTGTTTATAATGGAATCAATTGGCTTAATGAGACAAATCCAATGAGTCCAAGATTGTTGAATTCTGACATCATTAAGACTTTCAAATGTATGACAAATGGTCAATGATTAAAGGATTCAATATCAACTATTAATCAAGTCGCTTCTCATTTACTCTTGATCTCTAATTTGTTTACAGGTAATGCAACTCAGGAAATTTATAAACATAACCCTCTTTTCTCTTGAAAAGGGGAGGCTCCAAGTACAGAGAAATTATTAGGTTCGGACATTTAATTAAAACTTGTCATATGGACTGTGCTTTAACTGTGTTTTAGATGCACTTTTTTACCGCGCTTTACCTGCAACTTACCTGTGCTTTTAACGCTTTTGACTTAAAATTTCTTGCACATGTGTACATCCAACATGTCAATATTTTATTGGTGTTCGGACGTATCTCTACGTCTGGTTATCGAAGCTAATAACTTTCCTCAAACAAGAGAGCAAGAGGGAGAGATCGGAGATCGCTCTTGCCTCCTCGCTCCTCGACCACCGCCTTAGCTCTACCGGACCACCACCTAAAAGCATGAGCTTCGTCGAACCACCGCTTATTGATGAAGTTTTGCCGGACCACAACTTGAGGCCAAGAGCTCCGGCGAACCACCTCCTAACGCCGGAGTTTTGCTGGACCACCACTTGAGGCCCTCGCCTCCGACGGGCTACTGCCTGACGTTGTTGCTTCGCTGGACCACCATTAGAGGCCCTCGCCTCCGCCATACCACAACAGGATGTCGTTGCTCCATCGGACCACCACTTGAGGCATTGTGTTCCACCATGCCACCACCTGACGCCTGGACTTTTGCCAAACCACCACTTGAGGCCCTGAGCTTCACTAGGCCACCACCTAACGCCCGGATTTCTGTCGGACCACGACCCAATGTTCGTACTTTTCGCGGGACCACCACCTAAGGTCCGGACTTCTTCCGGACCACCACCTAAGGCCCAAACTCATCCATCAGGTTTCTTTTATTTCATCAAAATAAATATCTACACTACACTACATTGATACATATAAGAGTTACATAACTACAAAATTAATTAGTCATAATTATACAAAAATCAAAATAACAAAATACATATGACCTTATATCTGATAATGAATTGCGAGTCCACAATCTCCTTCCCCTTCCCAGATCTTAAAAATCAGAAATAAAATCACAGTGAGCTATAATAGATCAATCAGCAACATAAACCAACTTAAGTTTTAAAATATTTTTGAAGATCACATGCTAGCATAAGAACTTTTAAATATTTGACTCTAGTCATTAACATTCTTTGACAAATTGTGCCAATTTGTTATGTATTGTGTTCAATGATTTTGGAGGATGTGCTGAAGGCTTCATCAAGAAGATAAGCAGCTTTGGATGGATGGACTGGCGAAAATGACTTTTTTTTTCTAAGGGAAAACATTTTTGAGAGTAGCTTAGAGGTTTTCCAAGAAGGTTTCTACAAGGTATTCTGGAGAAGAGTTCTACAAATTGATGAAAAATTAATGTTTCATTTGGGACAATTTTCTTAGTGCTTTCTAAAACAGAATTTTAGTACAAAAATTTCTGGTTAAAAAAAAAAATTGCACAAAAAAATGCTCAAATCATGTTAGAAAAAAAAATGTTCGACTAATGTTCAAACCATGTTCTAATATGTTTGAATGTGTTTTGATCCTCATTTGAACATGATTTGAACTAACTTATCTCGGCTTTAGATTCTTGGGATATATAAATATAATTGATGGATGGGTTGTGATGGAGCAACATGAAATAAATATAATAAAAGAGATACTTAAACAAACTTTTATGTATATATTTTTAACAATATAAAAAAGAAAATATTTATTCAATTGCCTATACTATGAGTGCTACAAAATAAAATTCTCAAATTAAATGAGTAATTAAACTTGCACTTTATTTGAATATATTCTTTCATAGATTAATTTAAGTTTTTAATAATTATAAATTAAATTATTTGTAATTTAATTATTTTATATTAATTATCCATCAAATGTCTACATTAACTATGCCATTTAATAAAAAAATTTAAATCACAGCATTTAATAATTTCTTTTTTTTAATAATTTTTGTTAGTTTAATTTTAAATTGATTTATAATTTTTAATAATTAGAAAATAGGAAGTGGCAGGTCAATTATTTGTATTTTCGCAAATTAAAAATGAAACCAGAAATGGTTTGAAACGTGACAGGCCCTTTTTCCACTGAAGAAAAAGGCGGGTAGTCAAAGAAAGGGAGTCCACTGCAGATCTTTGAGGTGAAGCGTCGCCGCAGAATCCTTTCCTTGCCTAGGGTTACCGGGGAATCTGGATTCACTTTTCTAAGTGTTTGTTCTTCGATTCCGATTGGAGGAAGTATCTCCATCTCCAGCTGACCAAGGTATTAGTTTTTTTTACATTCAAGGCGATCGGAGGCTGCCATACTTATTTATCTATGCAGATTGTGGCCTCTCGGGTTGTCTTATAATGTATAGATGTTTGTGCGAGGGTTGTTTTTCTAAGCTAATTGGAAGGGTTATCCACTGTTTTCTTCTTATGGGAAGCTTTAGTTAATCTACTTGCTTTTGTCTATGGTGGTTAACACGAGGTATTGGAGGTCTTAGATTTACTGGTCTGTAGGTCTTGTTCAGGTTTACTGGCCTTTGGTTTATTTTATTTTATTTTTTGAATCGTGGACCGTGGTTCAGGTCAGGTGATGATGGTTGCCGCGGTGGATGGCAAGTAGGAATGGTGAATTGGGAGTGGAAGATATTAATGAAACTGTGGGCGTGATGCCGAGCTTCATTCCTTCAGTTGTTTCGACTCAAGCAGTGTAAGCTATCGTTTGCTTTATTAGCTTTTGATCAATCGCTCGTTCTTCTTTTGAGCAGTATTTGGTTATTATTTGTTATGTGACGATCGCATATTCTGGTATATTAGGTCTCCTTTATCTGGATTTTCTAATGCTCAATCAAAAAGAAAAAATGCTCGGCTGTGTCATGGTTTCTTCTGTCATCTCTGTATCATGCGACTTTATAAGCATTCTAAAATTTAGGAAAGCCATTGGCCTTGTATAGCTTACTCGATACATTTCTTGTATTGAGTGTTTGTTTGAGTGTTGTGTTTGAATTTATTTTTATATTTTTGGTGTCAAGGGCCGTTTAATACAATAGAAATTGTATTCATATGCACAGTTAGTATTTACCATTTGTTTATTATGTGATATGGATACACAGTCAAATAAGGCTATGCTTCTGTTTGGCTTTTTAAGTAAATGAGCTTGTAAAACAAGTAAAAGTCTAGTTATTTATTGAGCAAATCACTTGATATTCACTGAATTTGAACTGGTCACAATCATCAAACTTTTTTGATAGATATATGTGCAAGTAATAAGGCGAAGGGATTCATGCTATTTTTTTGGATAAAACACTTAATTATTGGAATGCATAGTCATTCAGGTGGATGGATATGATATAAAAATGCTATATGAATTATTTGAAAGGCTATTTATTAATCATTGATCAATGCTAGCAATTGTCTTTAAATTTTTCTATAAGGAAATTAATGGCTTGATCGATCCAAATCTATATAAAAGATGCATTTACCAATAATTTTTCTCACATTATATAAACTTTTGTTTTACTCTCCTATTCTTTTATGATGGGACACAAGTTTTTTGCTTGACTTTTCAATCAAACTGATGAGTAAATTAAGGAAAATATTGATCAATTTCAAAATATAATAATCAGAAGAAAACACTGGACATTCCATTGAAGCAATTTAAAAGTAGCAACATGAGTTTGTAAAATGATTGAATTTATGAGGGAAATATGGTCAAAGAACAAAAGGAAAAATGGGAAATTGACCAAGTGAAATTTATAGAAATTATCAATGCAAGGTGAGATCTTAAACTAGGGTTTTGAATATCTAGTTTCCTTGGCGGTCATGGCTGAACTGTGCTCAATTGTTGTGTTACTACTTACTACACGTTTGTTGCTGGTGCTTCTTTGACATCTCTCGTCTCTCTCTCTTCTTCTTTTCCTCTCTACCTTATTAGCCATATATAGCTTTGTTTAACATCAACTCCTTAGAAAACCAAATACAACTGGAGGAATGAAAATGACAGGTCAATGAAGATGGACATGAAGGAAATTATAATTTTTCCCTAGCGCTATACAAAAGTGTAAATAGAAGTTATTCATTATTTTCATAAACATTCTAAACCCTTTAAATCAAAATTTCGGATGTGTTTTATGTTTTCAAGCAATATTCTATTTGCTAAAGTTAATGTTTGAATAAAGAGAGTAAAAAAACTTTACATCAATGCTGGACATTTGAATGAAAATTTGAAAACTGAATAGTTTCATACTAATTAGTGCCGCAAGGTGTAATAGACAAAGTTTAAAACGGCTATAAGAAAGCGTGAAAACAAACTGTGATTCAACATTGAAAAATAACACTGCTAGTTAAGCAAATTTAACAATAATCACTAGTAAAACTACAATAAATAAGGTTTTTGGGGGGAGAAAATGAAGGTTCAAGGCTATGTTAGGATACATGAACGGGTTCATGGTGCGATAGAAGAGGCAATCTTCATCAAATGAGGAAATTTGAAAGCAAACCTTAAAACTATTAAATTAAATAAATAGTAGAACATGCACAATGTGGGCTCCAAATATTTGCACCATGAGCTCTATGCTTTGGTAGAGTTTTAATGGAAATGTTGAGTCATATTTTTAGAAGAGAGATTAGATTGAAGATAAGATACTATCATGAGATTTCGCCATCATTTTTTGAAGACTTTAAGATCCGAGTTCTTGTATCCCATAAATGCAAGCCCTTATGGCTAATCATCCTTTCTGGTGACCGGAGAGCACTTTCAATTAAAGTTAGTCGTTATATACGTACTGAGAAAAGGTCCAAAATGGTCATTCAACTCTTTATGAGGGACCAAAATGGTTCCCAACTATTTTGAGGAACCAAATTGGTCCCTCAACTCCTCAAAATGGAACTTTTTTCATCCCATCTTCAATTTTAAATGGAAAAATAAAAATGAGATGGGTGCGGGGCATTATCAGAATAAGCAAAGAATACTTTTTAGATATCGTCCCACAACGTAGAGTCGTAGACTAGCGCAAACCAACTCATAGTGTGAATCGCGTTGATCCCGCAATCCATCCCCAGAGCAGTGATCCCATTGACCCCGCAGTCCCGCAGTGTCGATCCCACAGTCGTTCCTTGCATCTGTCGATCGCAGTCGATCCCTGCATCTATCTATCACAGTCGATTTGGCCGAAGTGCGCCAACGGAAGAAAGATGGCTACCTTCGCAATGAGCAAGCTCTCATCGTTGTCATTACTTTCGATCAAACAGACAAACGACAAAGTGTGATCTTGGATCCGATAGGAAGGAACGTCGTCGAAGGAGGCGAAGAAGTTATTTAGCTACTCGTTCAAAACTTTGCACATCACGCGAAGGAGGTGAAGTCGAAGAGCAACAAACAATAGAGAAAGGGAAAAACAAACATAACAATTCTTTTGAATCAAGACATCCACAAAAATATGGAAATAAAATAGTAAGAAAATTAGTAAAAACAGATTCATCAAGAAAAGGAAAAAAAAAGAAATATAGCTTAGGAATAAATTAATCTAATTTAAATTAATTAAAAATAAATAAATTAACAAATAATTGATTGATAATTAATTGTACTGAATACCAAGTATATAGTAGCAACAAATTTAATATGGAATTTGAAAATTATCACATTATTCTTAAAATGGATGTTGGGGGGAATGATGAAGAACCCAATCAAAATTTCATGATTATGCCATCTTGAGATGTTATACTAGTCTACTTAGTTAGAGGAGGTAGTGATCTAGCATTATTGAAAGATCCCTGTTGGCATACATGAGTTGCTTTGTCTAAGGGTATCTTGTAGACCTAGGGCATATGCTTATCGAAGGAGAGAAATTTGAGTTGATCTTAGCTAAAAAATATTTTTTTGCCTTTTCATGTACACCTTATTCATTGCTCAAGGGGTATTAGCCACTATTAAGCATACATGCTTTGACCATGATTATAATTTAATGGTACATTTCTGTGATAAAACTACTAGTTAAATGGCCATGGTCTTAACCATAAGTATTTACCTGTAATGTCATTCGAAGGCCAAATTATCAGTTAGAGGACACATACCGCGCGTCTATACTGGTGGGACATTAATAATAAACCTTAGCAATATGCTTGACCAGATATGTGCTCTTTTTGTATTGAGATTATTCTTAAATTGATTAGCTTCGACAAACAATTGCGAAGAGTGGATAGATTTTTACCTTTAAGTTTTAAAGGAATGAATTTCACTTGAAATGCTTTGAATTTTGATAAATATTAAATTTTTTAAATTTGAGCTTCAAGTGGTTAACTTTGCAATTTGATAGTATTTTGAAAATCATGTGGCCCTCTCCATTTAAGATTTTATGTCAACACGATCTCATCTGGATTTTAAATAATTTATTTTATTATTAGAATTTTGTTAACTTTGCTTGATTGTCAACAGAGGATCGATTTTTAATATCAATTTTATGAATTGTTATTCAAGTATTGAACTCGAGAGTTTACATTTTGTAATGAAGTTCCTTTGAAAAAGGCATTGAAGGTCTAATGCGGGCGATGGTGGTTGGAGAGACCCTATGTAAAACCCAATTTGATTAGGTGTGTCACATTAGGATCAATTTAACAATACCCCAAAATTCCAACTTTCATAAAATTCCATAATTTTAATGTTGTTGAATTCTACTCGTCGAATGGAGCAATTCAACATATAAAACTATAGATCAAATTGTGAAGAATTGGAAGTTAGGGAATTAAATCCCATTTTTATTTTTCCTAAGTAAAAAATATGATTACTATTTAGAAATAAAGTTTATTGTAGCCATGGGTTTCATTGCGATGGTTGTTTGAAACAAGAGTGGTCATGGGAAGGCTAGAAGGTTAAGGGAAGAAGAAAGAAGATCAGGGGAGGAAGAGGAGAAAAAGAGAAAGTAGCTAAGAATTTTATTTTGTGCATATAAAAAGAATTTATATGGTTAATGTATTTAACATTTCTAATTTAACAGGGTTCAGTTATTGATTGGGGCATTAGTACTGCAAGGGAAATTGATACCATAATCTTGTATGCAATGTGGAATTTGGAAGGCATGTTAGGTGAAAATTGAATTAATTGTATGAGTTAGATATGAAATTGTGCAAATCAACAATTAATGATTTGGTTTAGTTTAGGTGCCCTACATACGTAGACACGAGATATACAATTTTGTATCTATGCGACGACAAGATAAGTTATGCAATTTTGATAATATAATAGGCTACTCTGATTGTGTATAGTTGTATACGTGTAAATTTAATTAGTTATGTGCAATATTGGTCTCTGCATTACACATTTATAATTCGCCTAAAATTATAATTTATGTAGCCATGCCATATGTAATTTGCCGTAAATTATGATCCTGTTATATTATGCTATCATGTGCAAGTCTATTATGTTGTATCTTATGATAGATATTCATACAATCATACTTGCCTATATGTTGATACACCTGACAATTATATTAAATTGTCTCCATGTGCATGTTTCTATATATAGGCAAGTGTCACTCAACTTGGAAGGAAAAAAATAATGATCAGAAAAGCCTGAGAATGAGCCATATTAGGTGGTAGGTGAATGGGGCAATGCAACCCTAATGGGCAGTGTGACCTAATAGAGGCAGTGCAATCTCAGTATGGTATGAAGCCTACCGGCATCGGTGGCTATGATATGAAGCCTACATATGATAG